TTTTTTTGAGATGAAGTCTTGCTCTGTTGCTCAGGCTGCAGTGCAGTGGTGTGATAGCTCACTGCAACCTCCGCTTCCCAGGTTCGAGCAATTCTCCTGCCTCAGCCTCCCGGGTAGGTGGGACTACCGGCGTACAGCATCACACCCTGCTATTTTTTGTAGTTTTAGTAGAGACAGGGTTTTACCATGTTGGCCAGGCTGGTCTCAAATTCTTGGCCTCAGGTGATCCATTCACCTCAGCCTCCCAAAATGCTGGGATTACAAATGTGAGCCACCACGCCCAGCCCCTCATTTCAATTTTTTTATTTTTCATTTTTTTGAGCTAGAGTCTTGCTCTGTCACCTAGGCTGGAGTGCAGTGGTGCAATCACAGTGATCATGGCAGCTTCAACCTTAAAGGCTCAAGCGATCCTCTCATCTCGGCCTTCCTAGTAGCTGGGACTATAGACATGCACCATGATGCCAGGCTAATTAAAATTTTTTGTAGAGATGGGTCTCACTGTGTTGGCCAGGTTAGTCTTGAGCTCTTGGGCTCAAGCGATCCTTCCACCTAGGCCTCCCAAAGTGCTGGGATTACAGAGATGAGCCACTGTGCCTCAGTCCTTATAAGCGGCTTGAGGTCTTTGACATCCCAAAGATTCCTGAGATGTAGAGAAATCTCTCCTCTCCATGATTCCACCCAAGCTAGGGTCTTGGTCTCTCTCTCCTCTTTCTCTCTCTCCCTCTTTCTCCTTGACTCTCTCTCCCTCCCCACTTTTTCTCTCTCCCTCTTCCTCCCTTCTTCTCACCCTCCCTCTCTTTCCTGCCACCTCTTGCTCTCCCTGCTACTCTCTCTCGCTCTCATTCTCTTCCTCCCTCTCTCTCCGCCTTCCTTCCTGCAAGGACACAGGAGGAAACGAATATTATACATACCAGATGTCCCTCAAACTTGACATCTTACAGGAGACAAAAGGAGAGCCATAGAAACTGTCAGGCGAAAAGGGACTTCAGCCAATTCATATAGGCCACAGAGCCAAGGGAAGACTTTCTAGCCTTTCTTTGTCTCAGTCTTTGATGCGGTAGTCCCTGTCCCTTCCAGACTTTCTCTGAGACAGGGACTTCCTTCAGCCCCGTGGTTCTCAGCCTTGGCTGCACACTGGATTTGCTCCCACCAGTTCTGATGGAATTTGTCTGGCGTGCATGCAGCCTGGCTGTTGGGAATTTAGAAAGCTCCCCAGGTGATTCCGACATGTACTATGGGCAACAACTCATCTAACCTCATTTCATCTACAGGGTTGGTTTGCTGGTAGGAACCTGGCCGTATCTCAGGTCACCACCAAATACGTTCTCTGGGTGGACGATGATTTTCTCTTCAACGATGAGACCAAGATTGAGGTGTTGGTGGATGTCCTGGAGAAAACGGAACTGGATGTGGTAAGGGACAGTTGTCAGTTTCACCCAGCTGCAATCTGTAGAGTTGGACAAGTGGGGAGAAGAGAGGGAAAAAATATATAAGAGAAGAGGAGGTGGAGGGAGAGGGCCTGGTACAGGAGGTGAATAGGCCAGTGCAACCCAGGTGGAGAGTGCTGAACCAGCTCACACCTCTAGACTGACTTTTCTTTGAGCAAATTACACCCCCATCCTCATTTGCAATTGTGTTCTCCTTTAAAATGGTATGTTTAGGCCGGGCGCGGTGGCTCACGCCTGTAATCCCAGCACTGTGGGAGGCTGAGGCGGGTGGATCACGAGGTCAATAGATCGAGACCATCCTGGTCAACATGGTGAAACCCCGTCTCTACTAAAAATACAAAAAATTAGCTGGGCATGGTGGCGCGTACCTGTAATCCCAGCGACTCAGGAGGCTGA